GCTAAGAATCCTCAACTGCCATTAATCTCCAGTGGAGGAGGATAAGGTTTTAGGATGGCAGCATAACAGTATCTTAAAGCCATTGGAAAGAAGTGCCTGTGGTGGTAGGCACGTTGTAAATGTAATAGTAATAGTAACTCAGGAATTCCTGGCACTCAAATGCTAGCCATTAGACCTCACCTCTATTATTTCTCTTTATCCTGCTTTAGCTTGCAGCAGTGAAGTCAAATCCTTTTCCCTTCCATAGCAGAATAATTCTTGCTTTGTTCTCAGGAACAGCTTTTTCTATGCTTTGTACTTTATTAAGTCAGGTCAACATTCAGTCCTAGAAGGCAAGAAATCTCTGCCTTAAGTGCTTTAAAAGCTTTCCAATTTTTTAATGAACTTAAAAGAAAAATATACAAGTTTGGGTCAGATTTTTTGGGAATGCTCTGCATTCCAGCAACGCCACCTAAGGTCAATAAGTTTGCAAAGGTTTTAAAAAATCATTCTGCTTTTTTCATGTAATCGCCCTTTTAACTGAATGCTGGTAAAGTAAGGGGCTTCCTTATGTACATACAGGTTAATATTAGAAAAGCAGATTAATAAATAAACCTTGTTCACTGAAGGATGACGCTAGACTGGGCAGCAGTGAGAAAGATGAAGTTTGTCCTGCTTGCCCTGAAAAGATCTCATCCTTTATTTGCAACAGAGTGCAGGAGAAACTAAATATACTTTTTAAGGTGGCTAAAAAAATGTCCAGATATATAGTGCCATCCAGTAGGTTATTATCAATAAATATTCATCTACAACAGCTAATACATTCTGGTCAAGCAACCAAGAATTGGTCAAACAATGGAGAAACTTCAAAGACACTCATTTTCAGTGAGCAAAATGCAAAGATTTCTTCTGCATTCTATCATGTGATATGTTTTTGATATCGCTGACACCTCCTCCTCTTAACTTCCCTGAGCTTCTTCTATACGTTGAGGGGCATCTAGAACTCAGAAACAAGGAGTGCAGTATTCTCAATGAGAGTTTTGTTGAAAATAGTGTAAGTACCAAAAAAGAAAAACAATTCCATATGCACAAGGTAGAGTATCAGACCAGACAACCAGACTACATACTTATCTGAGCATCATCACAAGACAAGGACTTTTCCTGGTTTGTTTCAGAGGCATACCTGGGCACTTCTGGCCCCTGGGCCAAAAGGGGAGCACATAAAAAGTGGAGACAGGGAGAGATCAGCAGAGACGAATATACCTCCTCTGCTCGCGATTGTAGGGAGGCAGTTAGACGGGCCAAAGCTACCATGGAGCTGAGGATGGCATCCCAAGTAAAGGACAACAAGAAATTGTTTTTTAGATATATAGGGAGTAAAAGGAAGGCCCAGAGAGGAATAGGACCCCTGCTAAATGGGCAGAAGCAATTGGTGATGGACAGGGGGGACAAGGCTGAACTCCTCAACGAGTTCTTTGCCTCAGTGCTCCTAAGAGAGGGGCAAGACAAGTCTCTCACTGGGGTTGTAGAGAGGCAGCAGCAAGGCGCCAGACTGCCATATGTAGACCCTGAGATGGTGCAGAGTCACTTGGAAGAACTGGATGCCTTTAAGTCGGCAGGCCC